TTTTTTTTTGCAAGAGGGATCTGGGGTGAGATGGGGAGGGGCGTTGGGGGCAACGTCTAAAGTTAAGACACTGGGACAGAAAACCTCTCTCACTGTTGAATCCTAGGGAAGGCACTCTTTCATCCTGCCTACAAAATGCTTCTTTTCTCCTTTCCAGCGGACTCTGTTGAAATGCCCTCTGGTGTAGGGGTCTCTCATTCTGAACATGAAAAACTCAACTTATTATTTGATAAAGGGTGGCATGGATTACGGTTGTCTGGAGTGTGTGTGTGTGCATGTGTATTTGGAGGTGGAAAGGCGGCAGGTTGGGGTTTCTTCTCAACTATTATGTTTGTATTTGCAAGAAACTTTCTTACTCAACAACTGGAGTGCCATGATGGGTTTGTTTTTCTTCTTCTTAAAATGTCAGAGGAGGGCAAATAGCTATGGTGCCCTGCCTTGGGGTTTTGTTTTGTTTACCCCCTCTGGAATCCCCCCTTTTGGTAAAGACCAAGAAATATTAATAGAGCTAAGAGAAATTGTTTTGCTTTCATAAAAAATGTTGAAAACTCATAAAAGTGTGAATTATAATTGTGCAATTTACATATATTTTAACATATTGATGTTTATCCAGGACTTCTTGTCATATTCAACTCATCTGCTTCCAAACCAGTCACTAGATTAAGTAAAAGCTATGATGAGACTCACAGTTCTTATCTCTAGATCATTTCACTCTAAACACATTGTGTTTCATGCTTACATGCCTGTTTATAATGGTTTTTACTGATATAAATGATCCCTGAGTATGTGGAAAGCATTTATATAGATGCATTTAAAGGCATACTACATTAAACTATACAGTACTTAATGGAAAACATGATTTAAAAGATTTACAATCCATTAATCACTAACCCTACTAAGAGCTAGAGATTCAGAGATGTGCTAACAAATCCTGTGAACATTTATCATGTCATAAGTAGAATTAACTATAACACGTTAGAGGAAAAAAAAAAAAAAAAAAATGTTACCAGAACTGTTTCTTAACCAGGTAGTGCATTGAATTTCAAAAACTGATGCCACAAATAGATTGCAAATTCTTTTTTTTTAAAAAAAATTCCCTGAGCACTCCCTATTCCTCCATTCCTCTAGCAACCCACTACCAAGTCTAAATTCAACAATCAGATGGTGATTGATTGCACTTTACCTAAGAGGAAAAAAAAGATTCTCTTATTCATGCAAAGCAAAGCACTCTAGCTGCCATCTGTCTGAAATGAAACATTCTCTAGCAAGAACCTGGCAGAATTTGAGAAGGCTTAAAAGATGTATGTGGGCATGTTTGTGTACATTTACGTGTGTGTGGTTTGTGTGTGAGAGAAAAATCAGCAAATGGCTTGACTGTGAAGTATGTCATTTAGCCTCAGGGAAGCATTAGTGAACATATTTAACAGGCAATCACAGGCAGAGAATATAAGCATGACTTTGACATTCAACAGTGTGTTTATTATGATTTTTAAAAAGAGATGAACACAGTTGGTTTTAAAATCAATGCACAGCCATAAATGAAAGATGGATTCTGTCATCAAAGCCTGTTAACCTATCCCATCACACCCCTAAACATGCTCTTTCTGTGATCAACACAAACTTAAAAAAAAAAAAAAGAAAGAAAGAAAATTCAATGCTCTCTTTAGCCATGGAAACTCAAATCAAAAAGGTCAACATTTTCAGTTTATAAGAAACAATATGAGAAATGTTCAACCTATATTGGAAATATAAAACCTAGAGTAAAACAACTCACAGTTTTTATGTTGAAGAATATTCTCACCTGAAAGCATTTCAACTTGTATTCTTTTACAGGAGAAATTAAGACACTGATAGATTTCTGAATGGAGGAATGGATAGGAGAGTGGAGAATGGATTGTCCAGGTTTCCATTGCTTCCAATGAGGTGTCATATCCCAGTGAGGTCATTTCCTGACTTCAAAGCATTCATCTGAACTGCCTCAGTCAGCCCTAGTGGTTATAACCTGATGTTTCTTGCAAGAGACATTGATCTCCACTTGTTCTACTTTTCAGCTGCACGAGCTCGCGATGAAGAAAAGTCCGGGTCTCTTTGAATATCTTTGGGCCTGGACCCTCCTTCTGAGCACATTGACTGAAAGAAGGTGGGGGTACTTTACTTTAAATCTGCATGAAAATTTCTATAACTGTTCATTTTTCCATCAGGGGGAAGACAATTGCCCTTGTATAAATTCATGACTAAGGGAATTCAGAACACTTAACTGCAATACAATTCCAACTAAGAATAAAGGAAAATAGTATGAAAAAAATAATAATTCTATTTGCATGCCTTGTTAGTTAGAATACACTTAACAAGCTTTTGTTAAGGAATGTGTTAAGTCAACATTTAAGTCTAAAATTGAACTTTTCACTGTTCAGTTACAATGGAACAAATCTGCGACCGCCTGATTCATAGAAAAAGTTATCCCAATTAAAGCCTATCTTCTGTGAAAGTTAATTTTCCAACTAAGAAATTTCTAGTTAATTGTAAATATCAAAGGGTAACTTGTAACTACAAGAAAGTGGTAAGTTTAAAATAATATTTGTCATCTGAAAGTCACAAGACTCTATAAATGCATGTGCATATTTTGTCTTCAGACAATTTATATAACCAGGTAGTATGGAACATATGAAGCATGGATTTAAGAACACTAGGTAAAATCAATCTTCTCTATTTAACTGAATTAGTATGGACCTAAGTTATAAGAAAAATTTAATAATAAGCTTAATCATATTCAAAATATTTGACAATAATCCAACCCAAACATGGAAATATATTAGCAAGTTTAATACAATCAAATATTTCAGGTTCTTTTTTTTAATTTTATTTTTTTGTGTAGTTAACTCCTGTGGCCCATAAGAAACTCTTACACATATTTTTAAATACCTAAGACTTCTAAAATGAAGTAGAAACTGAACAAATATGAGTTGAGACAAACAGATGCAATACGCAGGAAACTTATATGAATCTAAGATTTCTTATATTGAGAAGTACGTTTTTTTTGTTGTTGTTTCGTAGGGTAACCATTGACTTTCAGAAAAACAGAAAATGCATTCTTGTCAGATACTCTTAATCTGAGGAGTTAAATATTCTTCTCTCCATTTGAAAAATTATATGAAGTGTTACTATTGTAATGACCTGTAGATGGAGTTAGTGCACAGTGTTTTATTATATAGTGGTTCATATGGAATCAAAATCAGGTACTGTAACTGACATTTATCTTCAGATTATATATTCATTTTAAGAATGACTATATTGTCATGAGTGTGTAATACCGAATAAATAATGTTAGTCTTTATGTTAGGGTTCTTCTCTGACAATTACAATTATGATAAATAAGAACCTAATCAGAAAGTCACATAAAAGAAAGATCATCATCCCAGATGGGATAGCAGAATTGCTGTCCTTGGGGGAGGAAATAATAGTTCTGGGCATTTTATTCCAATACACTTGGTGTATGAAACATTTATAAGAGGCAACCAGGTAGGAAATAATTACCTTAATTTGACGTAGCTTTAAAAACAGGGAATAGAAGTAAAAGTAATAGACAACTCCACATTCCACAGATCTTATTAACAATCTAATTGTGCTCTGTCATTTCTTCTGTTTCATTTTTTCCTTTTTAAAAAAAAAAATATTTTTTTTCCTTCTTTTCCTTTGAGTACTTGATCAACTCCCAACTTAAGGTGTACTAGCATTTCTTTTCCTCCTGTATCAAGATGACCTTCCAATATCCTTGAAAAATGCATGCATGGCAGTTGATTTTGTGACAATGAGTTTTTATAAATAATTGCATTCAGGAAACTATTTCTGTTTTACAGCTGTCATCTACCAATGAGACAACCTTGAAGACAAAAAGTTCATTGAAAATATGATTTCAAAAAATAGCAAAATGTTTCATTTTCCCAAAAGCAAATCCTTACACTGCATGTTTAATATTGAATTGAGGAGAATGGAATTTTTTTCATACATTTCCTAAATGTATTATTATTTAGAGCTTGTAGTTATAACTTTATTAGATTAAAATTGTATCAGGAAAATGACCGTTGCATTTTGGTGATACAAAATTACTTACTTAGGAAACAATACTTGACTTTAAAATAACATTTTGATTGTGTTTTTTCCTCCTGTAAAATAAGTGAATTTTTATTTCAAATGTTTTATTTTTCTTAGACTTATCAGTAATATAAATGCACAAGAGTGAAGCTAAAGCATACTAAACGGAAGGTTTGAAAGTGATATGTTTTTGGCAGGTTCTTAGTGTACACCCATATTCATTTTTCCCTCAAAGTCAGAGATATCATGAGTAAATGTGATCCATCCTAAGATAGAAAACTCTTCTCTCAAAGGATTTTGGAGATGCCATACTAATAATTATGTAAAATACAATTGAAGAAATATAAATGGCAATGCAAGTGATGGAAAGAATACACGTTATATAACTGTGGTCACTATGTGATTGGAGTTCAAAGACTAGAAATGGTAAGGGATCCAAGCTATTACTTCAACTATTAAAGATTAAATAGAAACAATTATTTGAATACATGAGAATGGAAGTAATTTCTTAGACTAAGAGTTGAAGCTCTGGTAGCATAGTGGCTAAGACACTTGCCTGCTAACCAGACGGCTGGCGGTTCAAACCCACCAGCCACTCCTCGGAAGGAAGGTTGGGCAATCGTACTTCCGTAGTGATACTGCCTCGGAAACCCAAGGAGGGGTCGCTATGAGTCGGGGCCTACTCGATGGCACATAACAACAACAACAAGAGTTGAACAAAACTGGGTTCTAGTTTAAGCTCTGCTCATAGATAGCTGTGTCACCTTGAACAAACACTAAAACTATGCTACAGCCCAGTAGAATACAAATTGAAATTACTGGAGCATATCTTTCCCAAGGTTTCCTTTTACTTCTAAGACCAGAAATGATGAAAATTTTATTAATTATGGGTTCAAATAGATCAATTATAAAAACTTGAATTATAAATCTAAATTGCGATAAAGATTTGCACACATTTTTTGTAAAAATGTAAAATTGATTGATCTAAAAATGCAATTATCTGAAAAATCAATTTTATCTATTTTTTTCCATGTAAGTAACCTAAATGAATACCAAAACAACAAAACATAGATGTAAATAAAGTGGACACAAGTAGAGATGTTGGTAGGTAAAACCTTAGATGTTTACTACACCTTAAACTAAATGAAAATAAAATTATTAATTATTCTGGAAATCCTTATAAATAAATATGTATATATACGTATATATGTGCATATGTGTATGTGTGTATGTATTTCTTTTTTCATTTTGAAAGAAATTTCCTATATTTGTTATTTTTCTATCCTGCATTTACATTCTGTTTTCCCTGACCTGGTATGAATACAACATGAAATGCCCGAAATTCCATTTCCTACAAGTCCATTTCCTGTAATTTTCTTTCAACATTTAGAAATATTAGAGTCAAGAACTTACCACCCATCAGAACAAATATGGGAAAATGGTACAGTTAAAATATGACATCTCTGACTTCATTGGAAGAAATCCTTAAATTAAAATTCAATATACAGGAAGATTGGAAAATCAGGGAAAAGTTTTATTTGGAAAGAGGTTTTATTGGAAATGTATACTTTAGTCATTACCATTCTTTATTTTAGTTCTGGACAACCCTCTTTACAAGATGAACTTAAAGACAATACCACTGTCTTCACCCGGATTTTGGACCGATTGCTAGATGGTTATGACAATCGGCTCAGACCAGGATTGGGAGGTGGGTCATGTTATTATATTTTTATTTTAGAGAATAATATTATACCTTTACTATGAGGGCCTTTTTTCCCTTTAAATATGAAAGTAATATGAATGGTAGCATGTATTTTTTATTTACTTCTATTTTTATCAGATTGATCTATGTAAATTCAATTTACACATATCCATAGGTATTAAAAAACAGAGACCAATTTCTTACAATGCCATGAAAAAAAATTACATTTACTTGACAAGCACAATATTTTCTATGTAATGATTTGATTATAGAGGAAAAATGGGAGTAATATTCCCTTTTCTAGCTCAAAGACAGCATGCTCTTAATTTAACACTGCTACTATGTCTGCATTGAATTCAAACAGGATCTCTAATTCTATTGATCTAAATATCAATTTTAGAATATTAAATATTGATCTATTATTTTGTGCTATATACTGCCACCTCTATAAAATAGGATAATGATAGATAGTAATTATGTGTATTTTCTTTTAAACATGCATTTAAATTTACATGCTCATTTAAGTTTTCTTGATATATCAATTAATTAGTTATACTAATGAAATTCCATGTGGGAAGAAGACTGTGCTTAATGATATAATATTTATAACAATAAGAGTAATTTGTCTTACATGTTGTGCACTTATTTGAATAAGACTTGAATAATATAATCAAACTATTGTGTTTGGTTAAACAAACACTAATGTTGCCAAAACAAAATGTTGATCTTAGAGAGAAACAAGGGAAGAAAAATTAAATTATTTTTCAAAGTCACAAAGGAAGCCTAGGTTAGATGCTGTGATTCCCAACTAAAATTTATGCCCTGGCTTTTCCCAATTATTGATGAGAACTATTTGATAGTGATATTTTAGTTGAAATTCAGTAGCAATATTAAGAAAGTCACCCCTTCTTCACCATAGATAGCTCTGATATACAAATTTTAAAAGCCTAAGAATTTCAAATAGTGATTTTATAGCTGAATGGTAGCATAGATTTAGAGTCACAATTTTTAAAAATGCTTTGGATAATGTAGTCCCACAGTATGCATCATAGGTCTGTTCTGAGGATACTAGGTTGATTCAATAACCCCAACAATGGATTCAATTATCCTAATAATCAAGAAGATAGCACAGCACAGGGCCAGGAAATGTTTCTATCTGTTATACACAAGAATGCTATAAGTCAGAGTCAATGCGATGGCAACCAGCAACTAATAACAAACAAGAAAGACAGTACTACCAAATGACATTAATGTCTCTGAGACTTTAAGAGGTACTACCTTGCCAATGTTGCAACTCAACTATGGGCCGCATTCCTTATCATGTCCTTTCTCATAAATTTCAAATATTCATTTTATAACATGCTATATAAATTTATTTCAGTTTATATTCCAACTAATTTTTATTTGTTAGTTTCTTAGGAAAATATATGTTGGATAAAATAAGTTGGTCAAAATGGGAAGTTTGATATATCAATGTAATAATATATTAATATAATACCTGTATACACTGGAACATCTGAATTAGCGCCAACAAAACAACAATTAACAAAAAATAATATATAGATATGTGTTTAAGTACAAAAATAAGTTTGTAGACAAGATATCATTTTAACAGAAATTGATATAACTAGCTGCTGGTTTTGTGAAACATAGATTTGGAGGTCACATTAATAATTGACATTAAAATGCATGTAAAAAATAACTCAAGTATTTTCCTCCATTTCTATTTTAAATGCACAATGCTAGATTATACTACAACTAAATGTTATTGCTTTAATATTCATGAAAATCTTAATACTGGTTAAACTTAAGGTTTTGACATTTCTCGGAGTGTCTTTTTTAGCTTCCAGCAATATTCCTGTGCTTATTATATGATATCTATAAAGTCATTGACACTTTTTAAGTACTTTTACAAAATGTTTTTCTGTCACTAAAAGAGTACACTTAAATAATAAATATAGATTATAGATGATTTTAAAATATAATCAGCCACAGAATTAGTAAGAATTATTATCACCACAATAGTTGGCTGCTAGAGTTTAAAATTATCTAATATATATCTTCTGTAGAAATAAAGGAATTTAATTTCTTTACCAAAAATTTCTGGTATTCAAGTATGCTACATATTTCAATAGGTCCCTGCTGCAAAAATGTCTCTTTTGTTTTATGTAAATCATTTGTTTTAAGAGGAAAAGATTATGTAGAGGAAATATTTTAAAGTTTATCATTAGTGTATCAGGAGTAAACTTTTCTTCTTCAGCTCCTTGACACAGCTGGGATAATCTCCTCTTTAGAATGATAGGGGCCTACTATCTTCTATACCCTGACACAAGCCGAGTTTTATATAAATAACAACCATGTACAAAAGGGAAGGATATTTTGTCCTGAATGTTCTCAGCAATGCAGAAGTGTGATAAACTGAGACTTGACAATAATCCAAGAAACTCTTTTATGGGCAAATTCATTATGACCTGTTTTTCAAAAATCCACACTGCACCAGCAAGTATAGCATTACTCTTTGGAGATGTACATACACTTTGGGTCCAAAACTAAGAATCCTAATATATACAACCTAGTTGACCCAGATGATAGAAATTAGTTTGCAGATATTATAACACACTATTTTAAAAGACTGCTTTTTTAGAGTCAAGAGTAGTTTTGAGAAAATGAAATTAAAAGTATAGAACAGAAAACTGTGGAAGGGATTTTATAAAGATAAGAGAGAGAAAGATAAATTAATTAGGATGTGTGGAATAGTTACATATTAATATGTTCTATTTAAAATATAAACAGGAAAATAAATTGGCCTTGTTTATAATTTAACTACAAGGTAAGTGAAGAAAAGTTTTTTTTAAAAAAAAAGTTGAATTGAAATAATTTATGGTAGCCTTGAAACACAAATCAAAATTTTTAATAAGTATTGAATTCCTTCTCATTATTATCTCTTCCCTTTGGGGCCAAAGAAGTGGAGCAAAGACTTTGAAAGGCCCTTGACAAAAGAATATTCAGTATAAAAAAAAATCAAATGGATAAGAAAAAAAAAAGGGGGATAAACATAAGAAAGAGTGAGAAGAAAGGAAAGCAGGAGAAATGGGGAGAAAATAAGAGTTAGAGGGGTGGAGAAGGTAAGGAAGAGAAACAGAGGGAATGAGGAAGAAAAAGAACATATATTATGAGGTGCAGGTGTCCATTGTTCAGTCAAGGCTCCTCTCTTAGTTTCAAACAAAGACCAAACCAAAACCACACTCACTACCACTGAGTCAGATTCAGTACATAATTACCTCTCCTTTGGTTTCTAAGGTGGTATAACTACGGAAGTAGATTGCCCAATCTTCCTTCTGGGGAGTGGCTGGTGGGTTTGAATCACCAGCCTTCTGGTTAGCAGTCAAATGCCTTCGGCATTATACCACCAGAGCTCCTAAATCAGGACCAAACAATAATATTCCTAAAAAATTTATCTCCCCTACATTTTCCTTATTGCTTTTGAGTGTAATAAACTAAAGAAACTTGGATTTTTCTCCTCTTTCCTAAAAACTTAATTGATGCTCCCTCCAAATTGTACCCACCTGGGAAAACGTCAGCCATTAACATAGTGACTTCTCTTGCTCTTTGGGACTGAGCCAAAGTCACCCATAAATATAGACATTAAGCTTAAATTTTTAAGTTTTTGAGAACAGTTAATGCCCTTCCAGTGACAACTTCTTGACTTTGTCCCATCATACATACAAGGCACATTTATGCCATGACAAAATCTCTGGACAAACCAGGCTGATGTTGTACACATTCCTGTCTGGAACACATCAGTAAACTGAGAGTTTCCTTTTTCTCCTGTCCACAAGCTCATTCTCCCACATCTATCTTATACAACTCATTTTATTCTACAGAAAAATTCATCTCATTTATTTTTAAAACAGAGTAGGTAAAAATCATGTTGAACTGGAAACCAAACAGGATAGTACCAAAGGAGTGAGGTCTTGGTTGAGTCACATTTTGAAGAAATTACAGAAAAGCTTTTCACCATCTCCCTCCCTGTTAATGGTAGTGCCTGGAAATATTTTTATAATATCTAAATTTGGCCTTAAGTTTAATCTTAAAAAAATATATATATTGTTGTTGTTATGTGCCTTCGAGTAAAACCTGACTCATAGTGACCCCTCCTTGGGTTTCCGAGGCAGTTTCACTACAGAAGTAGATTGCTCAACCTTCCTTCTGAAAATAATGTATAGGGTGATAGATGTCTCTTCAAGATTTTATCACTACATGTAGAATATACCGCCTCGGAAACCCAAGGAGGGGTCACTATGAGTTGGGTCCGACTCAATGGCACATAACAACAACAACAACATAGAAGATAAAAGAAAGAGAAATTCATGAATGCTCATCACAGGACAAACCCAGGTGAAAGGCTGGAGAAGTAGATCAATAGATGGGTAGAATGTACCTAAGAATGTACATGCCCACCCACTGCCATTGAGTTCATTCTAACACACAGTGACCCTCTAGACAGAGTAGAACTGCTCCATAGGTTTTCCAAAGCTGTAAATCTTGACAGAAGCAGACTGCCTCAACTTTCTCTGGAGGAGTGGCTGGTGGGTTCTAACTGCCTACCTTTTGCTTAGCAGGTAATGTGTGAGAGCCCCTCAGGAATGTACATGTTGTTGTTGTTGTACATAGAGAATGGAATTTATCCCTACCAAGCATTTGAAAGATATTTTGTTAAGATTTTATTCTTTCTCCTGTACATGTTATAGTTTGTTTATAAGACTTGACTTAATTGAACCAACCAAAAACCAAATCCATGCTCATGGAATTGATTCCAATTCAATATAATCCTCAAGTTTTCAAGGCTGTGAATCTTTACAGAAGTGATGGCCTCCTCTTTCTCCCATTAAGCAGCTGGATTCAGAAGAGGACATGGAATGAGGGATATCATTGCTGATGTCAGATGGATCTTGACTGAAAATAAAGAATATCAGACAGATGTTTACCTGTGTTTTGTTGACTAT